AGGGCATCATATAACAACCCCCCCTGCATTCCTCATTCTTGATAATGCTCTGGCTGTCACGGCTCTCAGCTGGGAGAGGGTTTGAGGAGAGGAGGCCACCTGCACACGGTACTCTTCATGGAAGGACCAGAACCACATTCCACCTTCTCTCTCCTCAGCAAGACCGAAACCCCAGCTTCTGTTTTATCAGATGCCCCCCAGCCCTTTCCATGCTTTGCCAAAACCACGGGCAGTTGCTGTCATCCTTTCAACCTCCACCTGTGGCCACCTAGAGACCTATACCCGTGCAGTGGTAGACGACCAAGCTCCCCCAGCTGCCTTTTTGTTCACCCCCGTGACGCTGGGGCACTTCCTGTGTGGCAGATGTGGTGCCAGGTGCTGGGAGGCACAGCCACGACTCCCATACTTAAGCCTCCAGTCTAGTAGGAAGGCTGCTGGGCCGTCCTCCCACGATGGTAAGAGCAGCCCAAAAGAGGTCTGCCCCGAGCCTGAGCCTTGGGAGTACAGAGCAGGGTCGATTATGGGGAGGGGGGCTTCTCAGAAGAGGTAACACTGGAGCTGGGCCTGGAAGGGTGAGCAAAATTTCCCAACAAGTGAAACTAGCAGAGCCAATCAGGAAGTGACTGCAAGAGTCAAGTGAGAAGAGAAAAGGGCCCAGAATGGAGGGGGACAGATATGAGACAGCTTCAACTTAGTGACCAATAACTTCGGGAACAGGGGGGCATTCCCAAAGTGGTGGCCTTCACCCATTAACAGAGACTGTGAAGGTCTGTTACTACTGCCAGACTCCACTGCCAGCTGGCGGGGTGACCATAGACCTGTCACTTCCCCTCTCAGACCCCACTATTCTCATGTGCAAAAACACAGAAGTTCCACTAGATAATTTCCAAGGCTCCTTTCCTTCAAGCTCTAACAGTCAATGGACATTAAAGAACCACTGAGAAAGACCAGCCTTGGGTGCCTGCTTGCCAGCCACATCCTCCCCTCATCAGGGCGCATTTACCCCATCAGCACCAGGTCCTCTGAGTAATCTGCTTTGCTACAATGAAATAAAATCCCCGAGGTCAAAGGCAGTACCTATACCCTGAGACCTCCCAAAAGCCAGTCAAGTGTCCCACAGTTGCTGTGGTGACTGGCGCCAGAAGGAAAGACACACTTTTTCGTACACAAATGCTTTAAGTGCACACCTGAAACCCCCCAGACCCTTGTCACACCCAGACCGCTGAACTACCCAAGAGCAAAGCACGCACACACATCCTGCAGCCTCTTATCTTAGTGACAGGGAATGCTTCCAGATCAGCTCTCTCCAAAATATGAGTTTCTCTGAGCACTCATCCTGCAGGAGGAAAAGTGCAAGAGGGGACCCAAGGGGGATACACTGAAGCCTCAGTTAAAACAAAGGCAAGCAAGAGGCCAGATGTCCAGGCAGTAGCCAAACCAGCAGCAGAGACGCAACATCAAGAACCCCAGAGCCTCACAGGTATAAGCACTGCTGGTGGACACCAAATGTCAGACAAATTCCCGCCCTGTCGTACGATGCCAAGACACCAGGCAAGGGACAGCGAGGTGGGTCTACCAGTCACTCCCCTGAGAAGTCACCTAAGGAGTTCATTAGGGCAGTTTCCAAACTGCTACCCTGGAGGAACCCAGGGCTGCAGTCCTTTGGAAGGCTGGCTACCCTCTACTGCAAAACAGAGCCTTGCAGACGGGGAGGGAATTAACACCAAGGTGGTGAACTCCTTTAAACAAACTAACAAATATGCAAAGGCCCCTGCAAACAGTGGACTTCGGGACTAATGGAAATTAGGCCCCTGCCCTACTTTCTAAAATTCTACTTTCCTGCCAAAGACACTGTTCCAGGCCTTACGAGAATAAGTTGGTCAAAGGAGTTTAGGAGGTTCTGCTCAGGGCAGCAGCCTCTCTAAAAACAGCCGTCCCCTCACTGGGCTGGTTGCTGCTACTGCAGCTGTCTGAGCCGGGGCACCACTAAGCAGTCAGGCGTCGCTGGAGGCGACAGGTGCTGAGGCCCGGAATGCAAAGGGTCACAACAACCCGCCAGCCTTTTAAAAGTCAAGTTGGCAGGGGCAACAACCTACAAGGTGCAAAGAAAACTGCACTCTTCACCTCAGGGGAGGGGGAGCACCCAACCCAGAGCCCAGCCCTCACCTCACCACTCCAACCAACATCTCCCTCAGCCACCAGCTCCCCACTGCAGAGCAAGCTCAAAGCAGAAAGGAGGTGTCCGGACTTGAACCTAGTGCTGCCACAGCCCCGGGAGGATGGACCTGGAGCAAAAGGAGTTTGCTGATGTGACAGCAAGGGGTAAAAGCTGGAAGACGGCCACTGCCAACCTGAGGGCATCGTCCCGCTGCCGGGGCAGGCAGCTTCCTGAAATGCTACTCCTGCGTGACCCGCAGAGGGCGGCGGCTCTCCCCCAGGACTGCACGCGCACAGGCTCACCGTCCTCAGTGAGAACTCCTAGGCTCTCCTTCTGAGCAAGGCAAGGTGCTGGGGGCCAGAGTCCACCCAACGGGCAGCTTGGGCCCAACGGGGCGCTAGGTGTGCAATGCAGACCAAGTGACCACGGGGGAGGGGGTCGCAGGAGGATGCGGGCCAGCCCTAGAGACCTAGCAGGGAGCGCAGCCGGAGGCGTGCTGCGGCTTCTGTCTCCCATGGAATCTCCTCCTCTCAAGGAGGGAGGCAGCCTTTGGGGAAGGTCTAAAACCGGACAGGGCAACCTCCTCAACCCCACAGGAAGCGGAGGTCAGCTCAGGTCCGACCCAGCCCCCTGCCGGATCACTGAAATTCACCTCCTCCACTGCAGGGTCCCAGACCGAAAAAACAGGCCATGTGAAAAAGCTGCAGAAGTAAAAAGTGGAAAGGGGAAGGCAGCAACGCCACGCGACCTGTGGGGCCCCGAGGCGCCTGCACATCACGGAGACGATTAGCCTGCACGGCACACAACCCCCACCCTCCCGCCCGAGATCGCGTTAGGCTGCTCAACTCTTCCCCTTCTCAGGAGACAGAACTAGTCTGTAATCTAGAAGCTGTCATTTCTCCCGAATGAGCACAAGCGACGGGGAAGAGCGGAGCAGGCGCAGGAGCGAGGAAGGGGGTGGGACTCTGCCTGCGCCGAAGGACGCATCCGCCCGGTGGGGTAACGGTGTCTGTCTGAAGTCACCTCCGATGTCGACGCCCCCGCCCCCTCACAGCCGGACTCGACGGTTCCTCTCCAATAACGGAAACCACCCCTCAACCCAGGAGAGGCAGAGGCTGTAAGAAGGAAAGAGACAGGGAAAAGCAGAGAAGCCCGGCAGAGCAAAGGGTCGCACAGGCACAGGGAGAGCAAATCAGTGCGGAGAAATGGGAGGGAAAGATCCGAGGACCCAGCGGGCTTTGCACTCACCCGTGTTGTACACGTGCAGTTCGTCCACTATCCCCTCGTTGCCGCCGCCGAACACCACGATGAGCTCCTTGATGGCCACGGCGCGGTGGCCGTGGCGGGGCCGGGGCACTGGACCCGACCAGCCCACCACTCGCTTCCAGCGGGGCTGCAAAAGCACAGCTGGCGAGTTGGCGGGCGACACGGCCGAAGCCATAGTTTCGGGAAAGGGCGCGGTGGAAAACAGTCACCAAACGGGAAGGGGGCTCCAATTCGTCTCTCACACACACCCCTTCACCTAAGGCAGTTCTCAACGGAGAAGCGGTTCCTCACACAGCGGTGGACTGCTCCATGGAGGCCGCCATCTTAACTATTCTCCTTCCCTTCGGCTCTTCCCCTTCTTCTGGTTCACCCCGTCTCCTCAAGAACCTCCCGAATCTATCATGCGCCTAGGCCCAAGAGGCTGAAGGCCGCCGAGTCCTGCTGCCCTGACTACTTGCCCGGGCGCTCCCTCTCACAAGCTCGGGCGGGAGGCCCTGGGAGCCGCCATCTTGAGCCGCCTCTCTCTCCTCCCTTCCTCAGTCGTAGCCCTCCCCCGCCGGAAATGGCGGAGACCCGGCCCGGTTCCCACACACCCCCAAGTCCCTTGCACTGGCCGGCTTCCGGGGCGGGTGGAAAGGAGCCACAGGCACGGCGGTTGTCCCAGTCCCGCCGGCGCTCAGACCACAATTGTGGGAGCCGCCATCTTGATACCGTCCCGCTTCCCCGCCCAGCGCTTAGCACAGCCGCCGCTCCCGCAACAGCCTCGACACTCGTAAGGGATAGAGGCGCGCCAGAGGCCAGTGGAAAGAGCTCGAATTCTTGGGGGCTGCTCGGGAGCTCGCGCCGTAGGACGCGTGATGTTCGAACCTTTCCCCTTAGTCCGCCTCTGCTCCTCAGGCTGCGTCTGCCGCCCTGGGAGCCGCCATCTTGAGAGTAACTCCCCCTTGCCCCCTATTCTCTTCCTCCTCCGTCAGTTTTTCCACTGCCAACCAAACGCAAGGCAGCGTCCGATCCTCGCTTCCCTCCTTATGACTCCTTCCCACGAGAGCCGCTCCAAGGAGCCAGAGTTAAGCCCCGAAGTGGCAACTGTACGGCAAGAGGAGCGGTAACGGCAGGGCGCTCATACCTCCTCCCTGGGAGCCGCCATCTTGTGTGAAGAAGTAACAACTAAACATGGCGGCGGTAGGGCGAGGGGGCGGGGTCGGGCGACGTCATTGCTCGCCCCCAACCTCCCCGTCTTCGCCCGGCCTCGCCTCTGCGCCGAGGCCTCTTAAAGGAGCCCTGGGCTGCCCCGCAACGAGAGCCCAAGGCCGCTGCGCGCTTGGCTTCGGCTCAGACCGTGCTCGTCAGGCGCAGCCGCGTCCAGCCCTGCGGCCCCTCCCAGCGCCCCTCCCAGCGCCCCTCCACACCTCCGCCCTGGGAGCCGCCATCTTGCCACTTCCTCTCGCCCGGCCGTCCACGGGCGTCAATAGCGACTTTCAGCACAAAACAAAGATGGCGGCCGTGGCATCGGGGAATGCCCGGATGAGGATACCTCAGACGAGCTTAGCCCCGCCCCCCTTGGGAACTAACCCCAGGTCGCTGAAGGGACACACACCCGGGGAACTACGTGTAACAGGCAGTGGGGACGGGGCACAGGTCGTTGAGGGTGGCTTACGGGAGACACTAAAGTTGCGCCTCGGGCCTGGGAGCGGACGTTTTCCCGCTCCGCACGCCCAGCAGCCGCAGGAGGGGCGGCCCGAGGCCCGGCTCAGGGCAGCCGGAGGCGGGACGAGAGCGCGGCGGTGCGGTGACACCACCGGCTCCCAGGGTCCCAGACTCGGCGGCCCCGCCCCCGAGCGCAGCGCCGCCGCCCGCGCGCCAACGAAAGGAGACAGGCCGCGCGCCCGGCGCAGCCCCACATTCTTGCTGGCTGCAAGGCGCGCAGCCTGGCCGACGGTACCGGAACCTCCCGGGCGCGCGCGGGAGACCTCGGCATCACCTCGCGTTACCCCGCCCCGCCTGCTTCCCAGAGTCCCGCGCCCCGCCCCGCGCGCAGGCGCATGGCGGCCTCTCGGGTCCGCCCTTTTTCGAGATTTGAATTTCCCCCAGCAAAGAGAGGCAAAATACCCGGATGGCGGTCGCTGGCCTTTTCGCGCCAATATTGTAAGTTCTCGCAACAGCCTTGAGAGGTGGGTACCGGCTCTACCCCCGCGTTCCAAATCTTTCTGGCGGCCGCCTGGGCGCTGCCCGGTCATCCTCACTGCCAGACACAGGCTGTAGGGCAAGGGTCCTGCTCTGGAGTCCGGGAGCAAGCAGCGACAACTTATAATTTTTACACTTTCTCTCATCTTTATGTCGACATCTTTATTTTCACCAACCTCTAACCGAAATTTGGCCTTTCCTGCAATTACGAATGTAGACAGCAGAGCACAGCATTAGCACAGATCATTTCAGATCGTAGGGCTTTTGTTGTAGATAATATGAAGTGAACAAAATTAAATTACAAGACCTACTGGCAGGCAGAATAACTACTTTGAAATTACGGTAGTTATTAAACCTGCCAGTAGAGCCTGTAATTTCACCTTAGTATAGAAGCACATATATTAATTACTGTATCACATTTTCAAAAATATTTTAATAACCATCTTTCGAGAGACTAAATTCATGTTATAATTGTGTTTTTGTTAATGCATTTGGAAGCAGAGGCCAAGGAGGCCTGTGACACAGGAGAGGACAAAGAGCCCCCCACAGCATGGCTCCGCTGCCTCACCTCTCTGGCCCTGAGTACCTCTGCTGTAAAATAAGGAAACCAAGCTGCTGGTTACCAGGGCCCTTGCCCAATGTCAGCCATTTTCTCCCAAGAGTTCAGAAATCACTGGTTGCTCCGGGCTCTTTGGGCATCCGAGTGGCCAGGATTGACCTCACCTGAGGGGGGCGGTGGTCCTACAGTAGAGCGCTCGGACTGGCATCACCTTATCCGCAGAAAGGTGGCAAGGACGCTCAGCATAATCAGGCACAAGCAGCGGCTGTCATAAATGCTATAGGAAAGCAGCTACCTCTTGTGACAGAGCCCCAGGAAGCAGGAGAGTCTGAGGAACATATATTGACTCTTAACTGGGAGAGAAATTCCCCCATAAAACCCCAGAATGGCCAGCCAATGCTGTTGAACTCTCAGCCATTGTGTGCCAGGCATGGGGAAGTTGTGAAGAACTTTATGAGTGTCATATAATACGGGTCGTGGCAGCTCAGGGGTACAGAGGAGCTAGGCCTTAAATTGCCCAGCCTGGTCTTCCTGGTGGACTTGGGAAGTTGGTTTGATAACATGTCACTTTCCACTTGCACAGAGGTTCAAATGAAGTCTGCCCGGCAGCCCGAGAGAAGAGTTGCTTTCCATGCCCTTCCTAGACCTTTATCAAGTTGACAGTGTTTGACTCCTGTCCTCAGCTCTCATCCATGCTTGCTGGCAGACAGGAAGGTCAAGCTAGTGCAGGCCCCAAAAGCCTGACAACTTCACACCAGGGAGCCAGGCTCCAGATGGGTACCAGCAGGGACCCAGGGACACCAGGCAGGTCTTCAGCTGGCCTCCCACTGGAGTCAAGAGCTGAATGTGCAAGCAACTCAGAGGAAATGATAGTGGAGTTGAGGGTGTGAGCAGGCTGGGGCAGTACAGAAGGAGGGCTGCAGAGTCTCCTAGCTGAAGGACAGACTGGGTCTACAGAGCTTAAACGGCTATGTAGGGATGGCACTTTGATGTCTGGCCAAGAGGCTGTGATGTGACCATGTGTGGAGAGCCAGCCACTAAAGGGTATTAAGCAGGGCCTGCTATGACCTTATCTGGGGGTCATCAAGGAGAAGGTATAGGTTGCTATGTGCAGACCATGTTAGCGGTGGCTGGCCTGGAAGTAGGGACCCTGGGGCAGGGTGGTCCCCCAGGCCCAGTGGCTCCTTAACCAGAGAGGAGGAAGTGGGAGGTGGTGCATGCCAGGGCCACACGCTGAGATGGAGGCTTGTGGTCTCCTTAACAGCAGACCCCCAAGGCAGGATAGGAACAAGAAAGCTTGGCAGGAGGCCCAGCAGACCACTCCCCAGAGAATACAGGTGAATGCCTAGGGCCCGGGTGAGAAGTGAGATGGCCACTAGGACCAGTGAGGGTGAGGAAAGAGCAAAGGCGCTGGTTCTGTGCTTGAGTCGGACGGAACTAAAATTGAGCAGGACTTCACTGAGCACCAGAGCGAGAGCAGAGAATCAGACTCTACCTCTCCTTTCCAGGGCCTAAACTATAGGATGGAAGATGAACGTCGTGCCTTAAAAAAAACGGTGCTCGGTGGTCTACACATATAAGAAGTCATTTGATGCACACAACTCTGCAGGAAGGTCCTGGTGGCATCCCCATTCTACAGGTATGTAAACCAAGGCCCGCAAAGGTTAGGACCCAAAGTCACACAGTTAGTAGGTAGGGAAGCCAGGGTTCGAAGACACACAGTCCATCTCATCTCCATGCCTGCCTGCCTGCCGTCTTGGCTTTCAGTCATTTTCACAGCATTGAACCTCTTCTCTCTTTGATACTAATATATTTCTGGGCTACTAGATCAACTCATACCACAGCTGGCCCCAGAGCAGTTGACAGTCAGTGGGAAGTCCATATTCTTTTTAAATGGCTGCTACTGTAGCTACAGGAAATGGAAGGCTTGATTGTGGGCCAGGGAAGAACGTGATTTGGAACCATGTGGTACTATGGCAGAGCAGGAGGCGACCCAGGGTGGCAGGCCTCGGACAGCTTCCTGTGCTGCCTGGCCTCATACCCAAGAAGCAGAGAGGAGGTGCTTGTCCTCCACCTCCCTGCTCCTTCTCCTCCAGCCCCATGCCATCCCTTGCCTTGGGTTCCAGAACTTGGGCCACAGCTAACCATCTGCAACAGTCTGTTCAACTGGTGCTTGGCCTGAAACATCTACATTTACAATACCACTGAGATGGAAAAGCCCATTCTGAGCTGTAGGAAAGGTTTAAATCTCTAAATGAAGTGTCTCTAAGGGAAGTAGGGCAGTGAGTGGGGGGATTATAGTACACAGTGAAGTATGGAGAGCATAGACGTCACCCCTAGGTCAGAGGGTTCTACAGGCTCCTAGAGGCGATGTGTGAGGAGGCGAGTGTGTTGTGGGTATCACTTCACTTCCTTTTCTGTTTTTTTCTGACAAAAACTTGGTGGATCCTAAGGCTGAGAGTCAGAAAGATGGAAGCTCTTTTTGGATGATTTGCTTTCTTTTTCTTTTTTCCAATTGCTTTCTTCTTTTTTTATTGAGTTTTTATTTTTTTATTCATTTTGTTATCATTAATCTACAATTACATGAAGAACATTATGTTTACTAGACTTCCGCCTTCACCAAGTCCCCCCCACAAACCCCATTACAGTCACTGTCCATCAGCGTACTGAGATGCTATAGAATCACAACTTGTCTTCTCTGTGTTGCGCAGCCCTCCCCGTGCCCCCCACGCACTATACATGCTAATCATTAAGGCCCCCTTTCTTTTTCCCCACCCTTATCCCTCCCTTCCCACCCACCCTCCCCAGTCCCTTTCCCTTTGGTAACTGTGAGTCCATTCTTGGGTTCTGTAAGTCTGCTGCTGTTTTGTTCCTTCAGTTTTCCTTTGTTCTTATACTCCACAGATGAGGGAAATCATTTGGTACTTGTCTCTCTCCCCCTGGCTTATTTCACTGAGCATAATACCCTCTAGCTCCATCCGTGTTGTTGCAAATGGTAGGATTTGTTTTCTTCTTATGGCTGAGTAATATTCCATTGTGTATATGTACCACCTCTTCTTTATCCATTCATCTACTGAGGACACTTAGGTTGCTTCCATTTTTTGGCTGTTGTAAATAGTGCTGCGATAAACATAGGGGTGCATCTGTCTTTTTCAAACTGGGCTGCTGCATTCTTAGGGTAAATTTCTAGAAGTGGAATTCCTGGGTCAAATGTTATTTCC